TTTGAACGTTTGATGGAAAAACGTGATTGTTTGGACAGTTCATCGTAATCACGTTCATCTGGCCGCAAAAGTGACAAAACACTTTTTTGGGTTTTTCGCAATCACGCCAGAAATGACCAAATTGACGACAGTTCCAACAGAGGACATTGTTGTCGTCATCCTGTGGAACTTTCGGTCTTGCTCCAGTGGCTGATTGCTCGGTCTGATCCTGTACTTGACGATAACCTTGGTTTGGTCTACCTCCTGTCTTTTTACGCGTTTGTAGCTTAGCGACAGCATTCACCACTGGGTCCTCCTCATCGTAATCTTCGCAGGGTTGCTCCACTTCCTCAATGTTGTTAACCTGGTTGTAAGGTCTAGCTCTATTCTGAAACGGTTTGTACATCGATTTATCGAGGCTGTAGCACACTGCTACCAAATCCTCAACACGATCGATTCGATAAATCGTCAAGAACGGCTTATATGCATCACGCATGTTCTCCAACAAAATGTCTAGTTTTCTGCCTTCTGGCATTGGTTTCGAAAGCTGTTGAGCTAGTTTTTCAATCGCACCTAAGAATGCATTGAAAGTTTCGCTAGGTAACTGACGTCTGTCTAGTATCTGCCTCTCGATGATCCTGTCCTTATTAGGTTGCTCAAATCTCAGTCGCAAGTGATGTTTGAACGCAGTCCACGTCGAAAACTTGTGACAAAACGTGTAATACCATTCCTCTGCTTCGGAACCTTCTTTGAAGAAGAAGTTTGCCTGGCAAAGGAGCTCCTGGTCGGACACGGCATTATTTTTGGCCAGGATTTCGATTCTATTTAGGAACTGTGTTACAGTCGGTCCACGGGTATCTCCACTGAAATTGACCCGCCACTTGTTGACTGGTACACGTAACCATCGATACCGTCGATCGTTGTAGTCCTCTTGTGGTACTTCACGTTGACGATTCTGCATAAAATCGTTCAGATCTGCTATTTGCGACGCTACCGAATTAGGATAGTTTCGCTCCACTGATCCTTCTCGTCTAGGTTGCGGTGCAGGTTCTGGAACAGGAACATCAATTGGTGCAGGTTGGTGTACTGGTGGTTCCGAAGGTGCCTGAGGTAGCTGGTTTTGTAACATCGTTGCTATGTTCATCGTCAACGCCTCCATATGAGTTGCTAACGACCGTTCAATCATTTCATTTACTTCTCGCCTCCAGTCTGCATCAAGGGGTTGAACGGAGTTCCGATTTTGTCCGTTACCTTCATTCCCATTTGGCTTCCAATTCCGGCGGTTCAAAAGTGGTGTCTGCTGGTATGGATTGCTTTCATTGGGTAGTAGTGGCAGTCGATAATCGTCTGAACCTTCACTTCCCGAAACTTGCCTTGGTATGTCCTCAACGTGTTGATCTTCTTCGACCCCTCCCGCCGCTAAATCCAACAGGTTATCTTCTTGTCTCCGTGGTGTACTGTGAGCCGTGAGGGGTGTTAGAGGTGGCTGTAGTTGTCCTGGCACATCCATTGTTGAGCGATCATCTAGAATGTTACTTCTCCCTGACATGTCCTGTGTTCCTTGTAGTTCGTCTTGCGGGTCGTACATGCCACGTCGACGATCCTCAGGGTTTCCGTAACGATCTAACAGACCTTCAACTTCTCCTAGCAGTTCCGTCTTAACCCTTAGTTGTTCCCTTGTAACAGTATTTGCGCGTAGTATTCTCCCTCTACAATGCCTGAGCCTCGAAATCAGTTTAGGTTCCGGAAAAATTTCCAGTACGTGTTTCAAATCAAGGACCTTTGTTTTAACCGTTTGATATTCTTCGACAATTGACTTTTTTGTAAACAGAACTTTTGGTCTTCTTATTTCTTCTAGCTGAACCCGCCGCAATTTCTGCCTACGTTCGTGGATGGTCCCCAAAATGGACACACATCGAAGCTTTAGTTCATAATCAACTTCGTCTGGCAACAAGTCAAGCGGATTTATGTATGATCCTACTACATCAGGATCTCGATTACTCATTTTGAGTAGAATTTAAATAATTATAGAATCAGTATAAAGAAACAATAAGCGTTTCAAAGTAAATGCAGAAGTAAAGTAAATAAAAAATTCAATTTTAAGTGATTAGGAAGTAAATATTGGACAAACACATAAATTCAAATTCAATTCTAGTTTCTTAAGCCTACTATGTACAAAATCGATAATTAATCTCAAAATTTTAATGATAATTCACCCGAAATACTCAATTCACTCTTACAAAATTACCTACTAGTTCAATACCAAATTAATGCTGCCTATATGCTAAATTTCAAAATAACTAAGAAAATTCAATAAATTCAAAAAACTTTTCATCCAATTCAATCAACCGTTAGTTGGGCGCCAAATGTAACGGGTCAGGTGTTTTGGAACTAGGAATGCTTACAATCTTCACTTAAGCGCCAGGTAGATACGAGAATCTACCGTGAAGAAGCGAGGGACTCAAACAGACCCGTCCCGGCTCTGAGACCTCAGGGCGAGTTCAATCGTAACAACAAAAGGCGAGCAAAGCGGTTGCGAATTCTGAAAATCAAAACTTAACCAACAGGGGAAAGACTCATTCAAATCAGTAAGAGGGGTTTCCTTTGAAGGTTTGCCTCTGCTTACCTACGGGAATAATTAACAACGTTCACGCGAATTTAACCAATTAAAGGCTTCCGTTACTCGTTCACGTGTCCGATCACTTATTCGAATCTCTTCACTGCGAGGTGCATTTCAGGTGTTTATTCATAAAACTAGGGTTAGTAGGGGGTACATCGAATAGGGTTTTGATCTGTGCTAACCTGACTTCTGTAGCGCTGGATGTCGGGACACGTGTCCGTGGTTCAGCCTCGGCGATACGTGGGCCGAGTGCGTGGGTGGCAAATGTTCGTTCGCTGGTGTCCGTCGTTTTGTCGTGTAAGAGGTTTGTGGCTCTGCTAGCGTATTACACCCTCCCCGTGCAACGTTCGCTACTCACCGCTACGTTGAGGTTATGGTGAGGTTGGGATTCACCAAGCCGTCGTGCTTTCGACGTTCGCGCAAAGCTTCCCAGAGGTAATGCACGTGGCTGATCTGCAGATGGCGTGTGTGAGGTTAGGAGTGAACCGTTTGTTCCGACTCCAATCAGTCCAACACGTGTACGGTGACGTCCCTGCGAGTCGACCTCAATGAAGGGATCCGTCCTTCGCTCGGTCGTTCTGGATCCACGACCCGAGGGGTGCACCCTTGTTTGAAGGGATTGTTCCTTTCGAAATGGCTGGCACTTGCTTGTGCAAGCGAAGCGTCCTCACACTTTACACTATGGCTTCCCTAGCCGGAAAAAAAATCACTAATTCAGCAAACGGCTTTTTTTTTTAACCACTAGACCTTTCTACATCGACTAGGTACTCCTACTTCTTTTAATTCTTGCCTTCACTAGATAAACTATCTTTGACCGTGTGATCGGTAACGCAGTTGAGATCAGATCGCATTCAATTGGACAGCCGTCTACTTTTACGACCCAGTATCGAACCGAAGTTTGTCAGGTCAGAATTCGTGTCCCATTATACACACTCGGGAGAGTTTTTCCGGTGGCATAAACTCTACCTACCCGTCGTCATTTGACATTCCTCGCCTGACGTTTCTGACCGGTTCGAGTCCAGAGACTAGGAACGCGATTCGCTCGTGTGAAAATCGTAATTTTAATGGGGTTGTGTAGGACTGTATTCTAGGACTTATTTTTTTGAATACTTGTAACCTTGTTACAAAATTTCGTAGAGTTTTCGGCAACCTCAATACAGATCGGCAGAGCAGTGGAGAGTAAGGGGTTGCTACGTTGACCTACCCTAATGTACAACCTGGAATAGTAACAGCAAGACATATTATGCTCTCCAAACTATCCTGGAGTTTTTTTTTGGTTTGGAGCTAGGCAGTTGTTGACAACCGTTTACCACCCACATCCACAGCATTACCTGTAAATCATTTTATTGCATTCGCGCAAAACTTAATCCCATCGGCCACGCAAAGGTTGAAGAATTCCTAGCAAAAAAAAAAATCGGTTTTAATTGTTTTCATCAAACCGGTTAACCGTTCCGTGCGGTATCAGTCATATATTTGCAATTGAAAATAACAACAACTATCGACCAACAATTGAAAAGGGCCAATCAGCTTTTGTAATCAAAACTTTGTAGGCCCTCTTCGCAAAGCGTAGGCCACCGAAGCAAACCAACAGCATCATCGGGGAAACTTTCCCCATCCACGATGATGCCATTGATTTGCGTGAGTGGCCTTCGCCTTGGTCGAGAATTACACCTCGCTCCACACCAAGTACTGAACCGGTCACGTTCGAATCATCCGCGTTCGGCCTTGCAACCCGATTCTACTATTATTACTATTTTATTATTTTGCTTGAGACGGACTGCCCTAGCCCGCAGCACAATAGTCGGTTTCCAGCCAGCATAGTGGATAACTATTCAAATTAGATTGGTTCTGGCTATACGAAATGTTTGCTCATCCAAACGGACGGGGACACCCACCTTGTCATCATGAATCAAGAATGAGGTAATCGCCTCATTTTTGAGCGACAAACCCCTTCACATGTTGTGTAGGACGTCCCTATTAGTCGAGCAGGCGTCTCTCGGTGGTCGCTTTACCCTTCGAAGCCAGCAAAAAAAAATGCATTCACGACGCTCTTCTGCGTGTTTACGCTTCATGCACCCGGCTGGCCCCATGTTGGTGTATTGGTGGTGAGTGCCAGTAATGTGTTCTCCCCAACAACGATGCTCCCTCGCTCCGTGTGCTTCTTCTGGTTGGGCTCTCCAGCAGCAGCAGCAGCCATGTGCGCGGTGGTCGTTCCATTCCGATGTCTCGGCTCGCTTTTGCCATATCTAGACGAGTGAGTTGAGTACCCTTCGACGTCGTCGTCGTCGTCGTCCGTCCCAAACTCCTATGGTGTCGCGTTCCAAACGGTTTTCAGTTTCGTTGATGAGTTTGAACCGTCTAGGTTGGTTGTGGTGGTTTGTATCGACGTCGCCGTCGTCTTCATCATCCATCGTAGTCGCCGCCGTCGTGCTTGTTGTCTCCGTAAAAGTCGCCGCCGTTGTCATCGTTATTGTTGTTGTTTCAGAAGAAACCATATCGTGTATACGAACGACGCACGCTGCGTCGTATTCGTCTTTCCGCGTGGTGAATTCCAAGTGGGAGTGTTTCTGCGTGCAGGCAGCTAGGGGTAACGCAAAATTTTGCATCGAAAAAAAAAATGTTTGTAGTTGGCTGCATCTCAAGTGAGAATAGTAGAAGCGACAACGCAAAATAGTGCAAATCACAGCTCGGAGTTGCATGGGCATAGTGAGTGTGTGATGATAATGGTAGGTTGTTGGTTTTAATGATCAATATTAACGTGGTTTGGAAAGTGTGAAAACGCGAGCACAAAGGAAACCCTATCGAGTGACATGGTGAGGCATCGACAATTAGTTGTAATCGCAATCGCATTTTTGTTAACGACCTGAAAGGCATCAGGTCCGTCTTATCAGCGCTGGATAGCTGTATTGAAGAATGACAAAACCGCCGAGGTTACTTACTTTCGGATGACGATGGGATTCGGGGTTTTTTTTAGATCCGAGTTTCATTGAGTCGCGACGTGCTATCAAATTGAATGCGAACGAGTGTGGAAGTGCTGAATCAGCTGGATGGTGGCGGCGATAAAAAGGTTTGCCTCTAACCGGAACGATAAGTAAATTGATGGAAGTGTATGAATGGATGTTTGAATGGTGGAGCCGCACAGTAATGTGCTGAAAAGGGTGTGTTGGAAATCAATTTGACAACTGTATTGATTCATTTCTTTTCGAATTTTTGAGCGCTGGCACAGTAAACATTAAGTATTATTGAACTTCCGATAAGCGACTCATGGTGTCATTTTTTTCTTTCTCAAATTTGCGATTCATTCGGTATTGAAGAGCCTATGAAAAGCGACGATTATCTTTGATACAGTTATCTCAATTCCGGTTAATCTTCAGTGTATACACTAAGATTTTTTTTACAGTATACCGTATTTTTTTACCGAATATAGAACAGCTGAACATTTGGTAATCTATTCGGTATTTTTTTTTATTTAATATTCGTTCGGTAAATTTTGTTCCCTTGTGAGCTGTCAAAATGTACTGATCAGGACTGTAAATTTTGCTGAATGATCGGTGAAGTTTGCAATATAGCGTTCGGTATAATTTTACCGAATTGGCTGTACTTAATTTGCCTGAAATAATCATTAATAACATGATTTTTATTGATTAATTAATTATTATTTCTAACAACAAACCTGAAGATTCATTTGACTAATCATTTATTTATTGTGTATAAACATACATTTTCATCGTGCGTCCGTATATAAAGTAAATAAGAACCTGACCGTGGTTAGCGACCCAGTAGCGAACCGTGCACAAATTCGCTTTTTGCTGTTGTGGACGAGGTTTGTGTGTGACATTTGGCCATTTAATGTCCATGTCGTCTGAAAGCAATTGGTCCAGAAATGAAAAAGAATTATATAATTAATACTTTCGATGTAAATCGCACGGATTATAGGAAAAAAGTAACGTACTTACTAGTCACAAAGGATAGAGGAAGAACACTCAACTTCAAAATGACAACAAAGCTTTACAGTGTGAAGTTTAGAAATCTGTTCTGTATTTTTTACAAAAATCTGGTACATTACTGCTGTTTGTTTTTGTAAAAGATTATGTTTACAACACATTCGTCACATTGTTTACAGTATTGCGGAATTGCAGCAATTTACAATTTAGATCAGTAATTTTGATTTACAGTTTTCGGTAGATTTCTATAAATTACGGAAATTCAGCAGTTTTGATTGCGGAAAATTGGTAAATCAATACTTTTTACAAAGCTTTCGGCAAATATTATATTTTACAGAACGAATCCAGCAAAAAAGTACCGAACAAGATTTAAGAAATTTGGTGTGTAGCTTAATCATGAATCATAAAGAAGCATGCCAAATACAGTCATCTTTTTAGAACTCGTAATTCATCGGATCGAAATAAGGGTATTGAACTACAGTAGAAGTTGATTGTTTAAGCTACAGTAATAGTCTCTTGGAGAAAAATTGCATCAATGTGTTGATCCTTAACTCAACATTTCTGCTATTAGATGGTCCCTTCAATATCAAAGATGTGGATAGTTGACTGCAAAAAACTATCCTGTACTTGATTTTCTGTAAATTTCTGTTAACACTCCGAACACGATGCCTCCGGTAAATTGTGTAACGAAAAATTGGCAATGTTTGAAAAATAATTGCTCAGATATTTATCGATGGATTTCAAATCTATTGATTCCGAAGAAATATTTAAGGTATAAAGTTTTAAATTATGAAATTCGTCAATAAATGACTGAGCTATGATTTTTCAAACATTGCAAGTAGGAGGCATCGTGTTAAGCAAAAAGCAAAAGTATGTTCCCGTACTTTATGTACCATATTATTTTCTTACAACAACTTTCAGAAACCTGCAGCAACTTACTAGGCTGATAGCGAGTCACTTTTTGGAGACTTTGTTACTTTTTTGAAGGTGGTCTCTAAAGTCACTTTCTTCGCCATTCCCGCTTGAATTGCAATGTAAAATTCGTTTAAAAAATAAATAAAAATTGTCACAGTGCTACAGTATGCTTAGTTCTTAGTTGGAAGTCCATTAAACTAACGAACGAAAAAGTACGCAGAAGAAATCGAAGACGAAGACGATATCATCAAAGTACACTTTTATTTGCGATTTCACACCTTTGAGGAGTCCAGATTCAACTGCAAAATTAAATAATCATAAAAAAATAAAATACCGAAAATTCGATGTCACCGGGATAAACTCGTGAACTTCGATGGCAAATTGAAAAAAAAATGTGCTTCTTCCTCTCTTTAAAAAATGTCAAGACTAGATTTTCAGGATACAGCTACTTTGTTACAGTTTTTTTTAAGTAGTCCTGTGAACAACTTCTTGGGTAAAACTTGGACTAGGAACTACTTTGAAAGCATTTCCAGATAAAATTAAGGAGAACTCCATATGAATTTTCAGTAGAACTTAGATGAGAACTCCAAGACAATTCAGATAAATTTTTTTCGAGAACTCAGAGGTGAACAGCATGGGAATTTCTTAGGAGATGAATTCTATAAAAAAGTTTATAATTCAAAGAGAATCTAAGGACGAATTTCATGATGTTTTAGTGTTCTGCAGATAATTTCTGCACTGTTGTAAAGAAAATTCAAGGCACTCCCAGAGATAAACCCGATTTTTTTTAGAAGAATTCTGTAAAGAAATCTCTAAGGGGAAATTCTTTTGAAAGAAATACTCTGTAAAGCTTCTCTGGAACTTTAAATACGGCAAGTTAGAATTTAAATTGTTATCCATAACTCAACAGTTTCAAATTTTCATGTCATATATTTATTTCGTTACAATAAATATAAGAACCTTATTTCAACTAAAATCAAACACTTCCTCAAAAAGTAGTCTTTGGTTTTTTACATAGTTAATCTACTGATTGGCTTAAGTTAAATTTGAACCCAGATCTCTAAAATTTCTCCAAGTTCATGTATCTGATGAGTTTAAATTTTTATTCTTGTCAATGTCCACAAAATTTAACCCTTGGATCATTTTCGTCAATGTCCTAGAGCTCTAGTTTTGTAGGTAATTCTTAGTAGAATTCCAAGGCAATCTTGAATAGGATTTAATACAAATTTTAAGGAAAATTCATAACAGGTTTTGACGTTAATTCTTAAGGAACTATGAGAATATTTGAACGAGAAGGAGGATAACACCATAATCATTCTGAGAAGAACTTCAAGATAATACAAAAGTGTATTTTAAGGACATTCTGAGGATAATTTAAAGAAGATTATGGGACAAAAGGAATCCGGAGCATATTTCCATGTGAGTTTTCGGAGAATTCATAGAGGGTATATTATGGAGGATTACAATTAAATATGAGTATAATTCCTATCGAAACTCAAATTAATTTAGTTAAAAAATTCCAGGAGGGTTCTGACAAATATTGTGGAGAAATCTAAGAAAAACTGCAAGTTATTTTTTATGTGAGAATTTCATAGTTATGAGTTAAATTCCAAGGAAAGGGGCAATATTCAACGGTAATTCCAAAATATATTCAATGAGATTAATACCAACGGATTTCTTAGGAATATCCTTGGAAAATTCGGAGCTAAATTTCAAGTAGATTTTGAGGAGTATTCTAAGGATATTCCGGTGTTTTTTTTCTTCAGATAATTCAAAGGAGAATCCCAACAGCATTTCGAAGAAATTATGGGATTTCTTAGCAGAACTAAAAAATATTCCTAAGATAATTCCATGGGAATTTCAGAATAATATTAAGTAAATTCTGAGATGAACTTCAAGTGAATTTTCAGGAGAATTCTTCAGGGAATTCCTAGCAAGAATTATTGATAATATAATGAGCATTGCAAGGTGAATTAAAATAGTTTTCTAAAGATGTTGTAATATTTTTTTATAATCATATTTTTCCTTTACACTAGTCAATCATATAGTACGTTCAGACTACAGAGTTATAACATGTTATAGCGCTATCTTGGTGGTGCTTTCTGTGTTGCAATTATTTGACAACCGTTATAACATGTTATAACTCTCCAGTCTGGCCAGCGTTATAGCTGTCAGAGTTTCTAGCTCAATTTAAAATATTTTCATTATACATTTGGATTGTATTTTTGAAAAATGCGTGGCATTAGGATCATAGGTTAATGAAACTATGGTACTTTATGGTAGAAACATTCGAAAAAACCTAGAAACCTCTTGAAATGTTATTAGGAAAAATGAGTAGACAATAAGATATAATAATTATCAACACTATACAAAATCGTCGGGAATCTCCATCGTTTTTTTTTTAATTTCCCATTATATAGTACTGTATTTTATACGTTTGACCCTTTGCTTCCCACGGTACCACAGGGGATTTATTGGTTTTGGTACGTCTTACAATTGTCATTACAGCTTAAATTAGTCAGCATTGATTTAAGTTCCTCTTGTGCTCAATATTTCCCTTTATATATTCAACTCACAAATTTATAGAAGTAATGAAGTAATGAAATTGGGGTGTTAGCGGAATGCTAAATAAAACAGCAAAAAAAGGTTATCTTCTATTTAATTCCACTTAAATAATTTTGGTATCCAGCATAATCCGTATTTCGACTACAATGTGCAGTCTTCATCAGTGTCATTCCCACTAAAGAACTTATCAAAATCTAACCCCCTTAAGTACTCATCCCCTAGGTAAAAAAGTCAAGATCATAGGTATAAAAATGAAACTACAATGTGTTGAATCGGAACCTACCTAACTAATAAAAACCAAA